CTGTCAGTATCTGCATAGTGCCCATTGCAGACAAAATAGCAGTCACATGTATTAGGAGGATGACTGGTTACACATGCTCAAATTATGCAGGGTAGGATACTCTAACTGTAATGTTTGGAAAAGACTCATAAATTCGTCTGTTTTTATTTCTTTTTCTCTCATGTTATTCCTCCTTTAATCTCACCATCTCCTTTTTTTCTCCCTGACTCTGTCATCAGTATTAGTGATGCAAAATAACAAGTTATTTAGTCTTCAATTAATTACCTCAATGAAGTACTGAATGCTTCTGGGACTGAGAGACACCTCTGAAGTACTTAAGCCACCTTCCAAGTCTCTTCTTATGTCATTCTACATAACTGAATGAGTAGTAAAGTAATTACTCTGCATGCTGAAGGAACTAATACATTTTCCTGACTTTCTCCCCCCCCAATCATCAGCTCACACCTCCATCACTAAACTGTGGGGAAAAACAGCTTTGCCCAATACAGCATACATTCACCAGCTTGTCTTTGGAGGTGTAAGCCTATTTTAATTATTATTTGTAGCATGCGCAACTGGCACACACTGATAAGGAGTCTTATCAGCTGTTTGGGAGGAAAGAACCAGATGAGCAATTTTTCAGCTCAATAAAGTATGAGCAACACTGTTGGAGAGAGTGGCTATCGAAGGCAATAAAATCCCTTTCCAGATGCAGAGGTGAAGAATGAAGGTAAGCAAACTTTCTGACCACCATTGTTGCTTTTTCCCAGGACTATAAACACTAGCGAACACCGAAGGAATGAAATCTTAAGATATCTATCAAGATGTTAAATATTTCCCAGTGGTCAGAAAATCTTTTGCTTCAGGGTAGAGAGAATCACCAGGACGGAGGGGACCTGAAATCCAATACTTTGCCCCTAAGCAAGGTTGTTCATTTATTAATAATCATATTACATACTAAGAACATTCCAGCATTCTGTTTCCCACAGTGGCCAATCAGATACCACAGAAGCTGGGTATAGATCCCTTAGCCTACCCCAGTGTTGCTTCTCAGCAACAGAGATACACTGTCTCCTTAGTTCATGTTCTCCATAGTATAATGTGCCACCAGCAGGCAATGCAGCTAACTGAATTCTAAGGTGTATCACACCAAAAAAGTGTCTCTTGAAAAGTAAGACACAACATAATGGACTGAATCCAGATGCCTGGAACAAATGGGTCCAAGTCAAGCCCTATATGAAGAAGTTGGATCAAGAAAAACAGTGTCACCATTAATAATAATAATTCTGATGTGACAATTCTTTCCTGTTCTCCAGTATGGTGAACAGTTGGATTCTGAATGCAAAACCTATCCATCAAGTTTTCCAAGTAAACATTTTTTAATCTATCACCCCTTATCTATTACCCCACCCTTCCTCCAAAGGGCTCAGTACTGCTTATACAATACTTGCCTCCACAATTTATTACCATGAGGCCTCTGTGAGGTAATTTAGGATGAGAGACAGAGAGACCAAGTGAACTGGGATTTGAAGAAGAGGAAGAGAAGAGTTGGATTTTTATACCTAGCCCTTCACTTGGAGTCTCAGAGAGGCTTACAATCTCCTTTTCCCTTCCTCTCCCCACAACAGGCACCTTGTGAGTTAGGTGGGGCTGGAGTTCTGAGAGAACTGCTCGTGAGAAAACAGCTTTGAAAGAACTTGTGACTAACCCAGGGTCATACCAGTAGCTGCATGTGGAGGAGTGGAGAATCAAAACTGGTTCTCCCTGATTAGAGTTCACGCTCTTAACCACTACACCAATTTGAAGTCATTAATGTTTAACCGTAGTCTATGATCCTGATTACTATGCCAAGCCTTCTTTCACTTGGATCCTATTTACAGTTGCCCACCTGGAGGGGCCAGGAGACCTCCTGGAATTTCAACTGATCTCCAGACTACAGAGATCAGTTCCTTTGGAGGAAGTGGCAGCTTCAGAGGGCAAACCCTGTGGTATACCATACACTCTTCCACAATTATAATTCCCAGAGTTACAGAGAACAGGAGAGAGCCAGCTTGGAGTTAGTGGTTAGAAGCACAGGCTCCAATCTGGGAGAACCAGGTTTGATTCTCCACTCTTCCACATGCAGTTGCTGGCATGACCTTGGGCCAGACACAGTTCTCTCAGAGCTCTCTCAGCCCCACCTACCTCACAGGGTGTCTGTTGTGGGGAGGGGAAGGGAAAGGAGATCGTAAGCCGCTCTGAGACTCCAAGTGAAGGCTGGGGTATAAATCCTATCTCTTCTTCTCTTTTTTCTTCTTCTCTTCTAGTTGAAATCCCTCCCTCAGTTCTCCCCTTCACAAGCACCACCCCCAAATCTCCAAGCATTTCCCAACCCAGAGATGGCAACCTATTAATTCAAAACCCTCAGAATATGGTGAGGCCTGTGTTTAACAAAAGAGTTAGTATTGTTACTTCATTTGACAAAACATTGTCTTAAAAGTTTTGCTAGATTATTTAGATGTATCGAATCACTGATGGAGGTCCCCTGATTAATCCATCATGGATATTGTAGGGTTGGAGACTGGAGAGGGCAGGGTTGGGGGAGGGGGAGGGGGAGGACCTCAGCAGATATGTGATGCCATAGAGCCCACCTTCTGATACTGCCACTTTCTCCAGGGGAACTGATCTCTGTAAGTCTGGAAATTAGTCATAATTGTGGACAGGGGTCATTTCCTGCGGGAGCGCACAGGAGCGGAGCTCCGGCAGTAAGGAGCCCAGGGGGTGGGCACATGCAACAAGCCCCACCCCCTGCTCCCAGCAGCCCTCAGTTGGGCCACCAGGAGCAAGAAGCAGCCAGGTAAGTTGCAGAGCCCACCCCCATCCCGCCATCAGGTACAAGCTCTCCCTCCTCTGTAAGGGCAGATCTGTGCATTCCCCCCCCCATAGCTAGCAATCCAAAACAGTCCAGTGGCACCTTTAAGACCAACTTTTATTCAGGTACAAGTTCTCCCTCCTCTGTGAGGACAGATTTGCACTCCCCCCCCCCAATAGCTAGCAATCCAGAACAGTCCAGTGGAGCCTGAGCGGTGGGTGTTGCCTTCTGACACACTTCCGGTGATGTCAGGGGTGTGGCATATGCAAATAAGTTATGCTAATAAGTTATGGTAATGAGCCCCTGCACCTCTTTTTCTATGAAATAACCCCTAATTGTGGAAGATCTCCAGGCCCCACCTGGAAGTTGGCAATCCTAGATAGGGGGCTACCACACAAAGGCCTCTCAGGTCCAATTTGCTTTTCTCTCTCAGCTGGGAGCAAAGAGGCCAGCTGGTAATCATACTCCTATTTTGGTGTAGTGGTTAGAAGCACCAACACTAATCTGGGAGAACCGTGCCCTAGAAGCTGTGCCCTTTTGTATCTAAAGCAGGTGCTGTACCACTGAGCTATGGTGCACGTTGAAGTGGCTCCATCGTTGCAGATGATGCCCTTTCATAATCTATGGATAACCTGTGCGGTGTGTTTGCACCATTGTGTTGGTTTGGAAAGTTGTGCTAACCTTCTGGGCCTTCATATTGGTGCAATGACCAGTATTTCACCCAGTTGTGGCAAGGATAAATTTCCCTAAACCATTAATTTCAGTAGCAATAATATTCAAAGGTCTTCTGGAATGAATGGCTTAAGGATGGTTGCCTAAAATATCAATTAATGCTCCAAGTGCCTTCATTTGCAAGGACAGGAAGGTTCCATGGAATCTGGGAGAAGGTATTTGGACAAGTAGAAACATTTGTAGGATGAAGCCCAAGGGTGGCACAATCAATATGTAGTGGGAAGGACTTGTATCACACTGCCTATGTTCTTGGTTTTGAGTTAAAGTAATAATGGGGGTAGGTCTCCTGTGTGAAAAGGTAATCAGAAAGAACTATGGTGTGAGATGGCCACAATTTGGGATGTGGCAACAGGCCATTCCAATAGCACCAGCATTTCACAAATACCATTCTGAACCCTGTCAATAGCATTGATCCATACAAGCAAGTTGCATGGCAGATGATAATCAAATAAGTCCTTTGCATATTGGCATGCCTGGAATGTTATTGTCCCTGCAAATCTTTAGATGTAGATGTGTGGTGTGTGTGTGTGCTAGTTTGAAAACTAAGGCCATACACTGGCCCTTCTTAAATTCTTTTTAACCAGGTCTGAAACCTCATCATAACAGCATGCAACATGCTTTGGAGGAAGAGTATAATCAAGTCTTGGGCACCAATTGAAACCTTCTTTGACTCCTTCAGGGCACCAGAAAAAAACTGTTTCAAACTTATGTTTTGTTACTGACCTTATCATCATGCATCTAAAATGCAACTTTCATTCATGTACTCAGCTTCTCTTACTTCCAAAATTGCATCAAGGACAATGTTCTAAAAATATTCACCACAGAATGGGTGGCACTCATTTCAGTCTCCCTGGCTGAGATGACCACAGCAATACAATACAATACAATACAATACAATACAATACAATACAATACAATACAATACAATACAATACAATACAATACAATACAATACAATACAATACAATACAATACAATACAATACAATACAATACAATACAATACAATACAATACAATACAATACAATACAATACAATACAATACAATACAATACAATACAATACAATACAATACAATACAATACAATATTAATGGCATGCACAACATTAAAATCAGAGAGACCACAGCAGTATGGTCAGACTGCACACTCGCTGCTCTGCATAGGCCAGTGGGCAGATTTTTGAACAGGGGTAATATATCCCTTAAGGTTGTGCATACATTTACAGGTGTTTGCATGTGGTCTATCCTCCACGCCCCCACACTGCTTTTTAAAAAATATCCATGGTGTATTTGATCACACTAGTTTCTCTGTGTGGACTGATTCTTTGAGGCAGCATGACCATGGTTTGATTTGCCACTTTTTAAAGATTTGGCACTTTCTTTAATTTTGACATTTAAAAAAAAAGTAAATATCACCTCACATCTCTTAGACTAAGGATGTCAGAGGATCTTGCATGGGAAAATCAGAGTTCTGTGTCAGAATTCATCTTGTTGGGCTTCTCAAGTCAGCCCCAAATGCAACTGATGCTGTTTGTGGCCTTCCTGGTCCTGTACCTTCTGACCCTGTTGGGCAATAGTCTCATTATCACCCTCATCATGACAGACTCTCGCCTCCACACACCCATGTACTTTCTCCTAGCCAACCTTTCCTTCTTGGATATTAGCTATACCACCACCACGGTACCCCAGATGTTAATACACCTCCTCTCCAAGAGGAAAACCATTTCTTATGCTCGCTGTGCTGCCCAGATGTACATCTTCCTGTCCTTGGGGATAACCGAGTGCGTCCTCTATGCTGTGATGGCTTATGATAGATATGTTGCCATCTGCCACCCACTGCGCTACGCCATCATCATGAGCAGACCTTCCTGTATCAAGCTGGCTGCTGGGTCTTGGACCTGTGGCTTTCTCTTTGCCATGATGCACACTGGTTTCACCATGAGGTTGCCCTACTGTGGCCCAAACGAGATCAACCACTTCTTCTGTGAGGTGCCAGCCATCTTAAAATTGGCCTGTGCAGACACACGGGTCAATGAGGTCGTGGACTTTGTGCTAGGTGTGATTCTACTGATGACCCCTCTTTCTTTGATTGTGGTGTCTTACTGTTTCATCTTTGCAGCCGTTTCAAAGATCCGCTCTACTGAAGGCAAGTTCAAGGCGTTTTCTACTTGTAGTTCACACATCACTGTTGTGACCCTCTTCTACAGCGCTGCCATGTTCATGTACATGCGCCCAGCATCCAGCTACAAGCCAGAGAGGGACAAGAAGTTTTCACTTTTTTACAATGTGGTATCTGCTTTGTTGAATCCATTTATCTACAGCCTAAGAAACAAGGATGTCAAAGGAGCCTTGGTCAAACTGGTCTGTAAAGAGTGACGAATGTTTCTTTAGGGTTATAAACAGGGGCAATGTGAAAAATCACAAGTCCTTTATATCCACTTACACAAACCATGCAGTGTCCATGAACATGAGGGCCAGAAAACGTCTGGCTTTTGTTATATGACCTCTTCAAACTCTGACTGGGTGTGGCAGCATAGGAAACAGCCATCCAGGTATATGCACAGGCAAACTTCCCTATCTATCATATGTCTGCCATGCACAGAATTCTTAAGACAATAAATAAGAATTTTAAAGGTGCCTTGCAAATGTTATGAATAGGCGGATGCACATATATTATTCAGGCATGTATAATATAAGTCAGACACTATTAGCTGCCGTCAGGTATTAATTTAAGTGCTGAAATATTGGATGGAATGGTTTGATGTTTTTATGAATTTTTATTGTTTTATCATGTGTTGTGAGCTGCCCTGAGCCTGCTTAAGGGGATAGGGTGGGACACAAATAAATAAATGAACAAATGAATGAATGAATAAATAAATAAATATAACTGGTAATTGTGAAAAAAGAGGCAGGAAATACCCAAGTCCAGTAAAATAAAAGCAAAGAATACGAGTGTTTTTACCTTTTTTGGGGTGTGTGTGTGTAACAAATTACAGCTTTGAACTAACTAGTATAGTTGTGCAGTTCTATTGTAAACATAAGAGCCAGGGAATTACCAAAAGGGAGGAATGCCTGGCATTTTGGGGGCAATGCTCTGCCATAGTTTTGGCCCGTCACTCCCTGTTACCAAAAGGGAGGAATGCCTGGCATTTGGGGGGCAATGCTCTGCCAGAGTTTTGGCCCGTCACTCCACTTCCGTGTCATGTAGGCACATCGCTGAAATGCCAGGCGTTCTTCCTTGCTCCTGGTAAGTGCACCCCCATCCCCTGCCAGCTGCTCAGATGGACCTGGCAACCCTAACTATAAAAGGACATTTTATTCCAGTGGGATGTGTTTATGATACGTTTGGTGTAGTGGTTAGGAGTGCGGACTCCAGTCTGGGAGAACTGAGTTTGATTCCCCACTCCTCCACATGCAGCTGCTGGTGTGACCTTGGGTCAGTCATAAATTCTCTCAGAGCTGTTCTCTCAAGGGCAGTTCTCAGGAGAGCTCTCTCAGTCCCACCTACATCACAGGGTGTCTGTTGTGGGGAGGGGAAGGGAAAGGAGATTGTAAGCTGTTCTGAGACTCCTTCAGATAGTGAAGGGCGGGGTATAAATCCAATCTCTTCTTCTTCTTAAATGCTGTACCAGTCAGAATAAGCCTTTATTGTTATTCCATTAAGCATGAACCAGAGAGGCCCTCTCTATACTGAGAAGATTTAACAAGGGACAACCATCCTGTCCTTTTCAAGAGCTTCCCCAAAGTATCTGGTCAGCCACTGCTGAGAGAGAATGCTCAAATGGATCTGCTGGGGCAGCTCTTGGATTCTTCAGTAAATACTAGTCTGGACAATGTGGACATAAAATGACATCTATGTGTCTTCTGGATTTTACAGAACCACTACATGATAAAAATATGTGTGCAGGCTTGCATTAATTTAAGGGAATGGATTGGTTCAATAGAACACATTGTCTTCCTTGCTCTTGTGTTTCTCATTTTTATAATATGATTTGATAATTCTTTCTTCCAGTTCTTGACTTAACAGTACCTCAGATCACTCTGCCCACAAACATCACTGAAAGTTTCTCATTTTTATAATATGATTTGATAATACTTTGGTCCAGTTCTTGACTTAACAGTAGCTCAGATCACTCTGCCCACAAATATCACTGAAGGATTATGCAGTGTCTCTTTGTACCAAGAACACTATTACTCCAGAAGGAGTAGTTGTGAGAATAAAGTAGAGGGCTCTAAATGGCTGCCAGATCTCCAGCCCCAATGTCCCACTGCCTCTTGTTAAGGTGGTGGTGGGAAAATAAGGGGGGGGGATGTGTGTAGCTTCAGTGCAGTGGTTTGGTGTAGTGGTTTGAGAAGCAGTTCTCGAAAGAGTTCTCTCAGCCCCACCTACCTCACAGGGTGTCTGTTGTGGGGAGGGGAAGGGAAAGGAGTTTGTAAGCCGCTCTGAGACTCTGACTGAAGGGTAAATCTAATCTTCTCCTTCTTCTCCTTCTCCTCCTTCTCCTCCTTCTTCTTTTCCTTCTCCTTCTCCTTCCTCCTCTTCCTCCTCTTCCTCCTCCTCCTTCTGGGATAAAACCAGAAGTGACATCACAGTGTCACAGCAATGCACCACAGGAAGTGGCGGCCCTCCTCCTCCTCCTTCTCCTTCCTCCTCTTCCTCCTGCGATAAAACCAGAAGTGACATCACTGTGTCACAGCAATGCTCTAGAGTTTCCTCCACATTGTTATGGCTTTACCAGAGACTTTGGTAGAATGTTAGAGAACCAGCCCAACATGATGACCTCACTTCAGATTTTGTGCCAGAAGCGACATTGCACATTGACACAATGTACGAGCAAATGTTCCCACCCTGGCAACCCTAGGTCAGATCCCTCCGTCTCTTATGTTCTTATGTTCTAGAGTTTCCTCCACATTCTTATGGCTTTACCAGAGACTCTGGTAGAATTTTAGAGTACCAGCCCAACATGATGACCTCATTTCAGATTTTGTGCCAGAAGCAACATTGCACATTGACATGATGTACGATCAAATGTCCCCACCATGGCAACCCTAGGTCAGATCCCTCTGTATGCTTCCTTTTGCATGTTCTGCTGCTGTCTATTTGTTTACTCAGAATACATTTCTCAGGGTCTTCCTTTCTGCTGCCTCCTTCTCTTCCTGTTTTTGTGCACTCTCTCTCTGGGCTTTTCTGCACGTGTTATTTAGTCACTTGTGCGCCCATATTGCTTCTTTTTTTCCCTTTTCCACTTGTGTTTTGATCCCTCTAGTGGTCACTTCGATATTACATCACTGTACCAACAGTTTATTCTCAAGCACCTTAAAAGTGCATGGAAATAAACTGGAGATACAGTAGTGAAATATAAAAGTGACCACTAGAGAGAGAGAAACATGTGCAGAAAGGAAAGAAACACCCAGTATAGGCATAGAAGGAAGAAAATAAGAAGTATGGAAAAGCTCAGAGGGCAGTCTTGCTCCCTCTTACCTCCATGAGAGCAACTGGTGCTCTCAGAATTACTCTGTACGCTAGCCTAGATAGATAGGTAGAAGGCTAATCTCTCCTTTCCTATCTCAGCATGGATTTCTCTAAAATAAAGAGTAACCATTTCTTTTCTAAAGCAGCAAGTCTTGTGTGGGCTTTATTCTAAATCAACCTCCCCCTTCTGCTAGTGTACAGCCGGCTTCTGCTAACATATCAGCGTCTACTTCATAGATCTGAATTAGGATATTGCTTGACTGAGAACAAGAACAGCCAGTGCCATCAATTGTCATGCAATTATGTTTCACTGAAAATACCCACTGTCATGGAGCAGAGGTCCATCAGTGGCTATTAGCCACAAGGTATAGATAGGAACTCTCGGTCTGGGGCAAGTGATGCACTGTATTCTTGGTGCTGGGGGGCAACAGTGGGAGGGCTCCTAGTGTCCTGGCCCCACTTCTGGACCTCCTGATGGCACCTGGTATTTTTGGCCACTGTGTGACAGTGTGGGACTGGATGGGCCATTGGCCTGATCCAACATTGGCTTCTTATGTTATTATGTTCTTATGTTCTTATATATACTGTGTGCAAAGCTGAAGAAACTGTTTATTAGGGATGGGCACAGACCCGAATGCATCTCCCTCAGAATGAGAGGGGTGTGTGTATATATTCCCAGGAGGAGCGTGACTGTCCTTTGTTTGCCTCGGGTTTTCTGTGAGTCTAGTTCTCCTTGTGCATGTGAAAAAAAAAATGTGGTGGGCCTGGGTTGGGGGGGAACGTACTGGGGTTGCTGGGTAGGTGGGTGGGTGGGGAAACCTGCTTGATCTCCTGGTGACGATACAAACTGCCAGTTGAAAAGTATCATTGCCTTCCCTTTTCTCATCCTCGTTCTCCTTCCTGAGTTCCACCGCTACAATGCCTTGTTCCCTCTTGTCTCTTTCTTTGATGTGAGGGGTGGGAAACTGGGGTTGAATTTTTATTGCTTTTATGTGTTTTTGTTTTTACTTAGGGGTTGCCTGTTTCCTTGGCAAATCAAACAGCAAAGTTACTTCACCCCTTTTGTGGGTTCTGCAAGCAGCTCTTTTTTTGGGATGTAATAAAAGGAAGGACAGGATTGCCCACTGGAAACAATGGGAGAGACTTGAAGGCCCATTGGAAATAATGAGCGAGGAATGCCAATTGACTTGTATGGGATCCATTAAAATACATTACAGCACAAGATGAGTTGCAACGAAAATATGAAATGGATTTTCCATTAAGGTCTCTGGGCCCAGATAGACAGCTCTGGGACTGGAATGAGAGCCCCCAGAGTGGAGTGATGGTCCCTGGGGGTAGCAGGAGTGTTCTGTGAATGGAATGACAGGCTCCAGAGTGGAATGACAGCCCCTGGAAGTAATAGGAGTGTTCTGGAATGACAGGCCCCAGAGTGGAATGATAGTTCCTGGGGGTAGCAGATGTGTTCTGGGACTTGAATGAGATACCACAGAGTGGAATGACAGTCCCTGGGAGTAGCAGGAGTGTTCTGGGACTGGAATGACAGGCCCAGAGTGGAATGACAGTCCCTGAGGGTAGGAGATGTATTCTGGAACTGGAATGATAGTTCACATAATGTAATGACGGTCCCTAGCAATAAAATCTGTGCTGTGGTGCTGGAATGACAGTCCCCAGAGTGGAATGATGGTCCCTAGGAACGGAATTAATGCTCTGGGACTGGAATGAGTGCCCCTAGGCTGGAATGATGGCTCCAGGAAGTAGAGTCAGTGCTCTGCGACTGGAATTGCGAACCACCCGCTCCTGTGCAGGTGTTCCCCTGGCCCTGGGGTGGGGAGGTTGGCTCTGCCAGGTAACCACATTGCCTGTGGGTAGAGGGTGGGCCTGGGGACTGAACGTCAACTGCCCCTGTGCAAGCGATGCCCTTCTCCTTTTGGGAAGTTTCCCATGCCAGGCAACCTAGGAAGAGATATCTGTCAGAAGCAACCTGAAAAGTATGCAGACGGAGAGTGATTTCAGCTAAGCATACCTTTATTTAGTTCAGGACAAAGACGAAGGGACCAGCTCGCAGGCTGGTTATATAGGTTCAGAAAACCCGCCACCAAGTACACCTAAACACACCCCCTACTCCCGATAGGCTATTTACAGTAACCGGGCGACCATTGGTCTCCCGGCTGAGAAGCTGGCCCTTTGATTGGGCCGGCTAGGATCCTAAGGACCCATTGTCTTTGGACATGACGCTATTGACGAGTTGTGCCTGGCCAGCCCGGGCAAGTCCGGGCATGTCAGGCTGAATACATTACACCCCACCCCCCTTGGTTCAGAAGGCACCCACAGACGAAGTCCTTCAAGTAGGCGGGTGGCTTCTTGGGGCGCGTCGAGCGTCGGGGCCCCGGGGTAGCGATGGGTTCGGTCTCGGGGGCCCTGGGAGCCGAGGGGCCTGGGACCGACGAGGGCGCCGAGGAGGCAGGACAGGCTGGCACCACGGTGTGAGGTGCCTCGGGTTCCTCACGGAGAGGCGGCTGTGGATCCGGTGCCGGGAGTGGGGCCGATGTGGCAGGCTCTGGGTCCTCGTCCGGATCCTCAGGGTCCAGCTGTAGCGTGCGACGGCGCAGCTGATCTATGTGCCGGTGGAGGATCTGGCCGTCCTCGCTGGAGACCTCGTATGAACGGGGGCCCTTGACCCGTATGACTCGGGCTGGGATCCATTGAGGCCCCCGGCCGTAGTTTCGGGCGTACACCGGGTCCTCTGGAAAGAACCCTCTGGCCGGCTCGTACGTCTCGGTGCCCGGGGCCTCCGGGGTTGCCCGATCTGGGTGTAACCGATCCAGTCGGGAGGCTAGGCGACGGCCCAGCAGTAGTTCGGCTGGGGTGCGGCCGGTCGTGGAGTGTGGCGTGGTGTGCTGTCCGAAGAGGAAAGCGGCTAGTTTATAGTCCCAATCGGTGGAGTCCAGTCGGCGAAGTGCGTCCTTTGTGGTGCGCACCATGCGCTCCGCCTGGCCATTTGTAGCGGGGTGAAACGGGGCGGATCGGACGTGGCGGATCCCGTAGTACCTGGTGAACGCCTGGAACTCGGCAGAGGTGAACGCGGTCCCATTGTCCGTGACCAGCGTGTCGGGGATCCCTTGGCCGCTGAAGATCCTCCACATGGCCCGGATTGCGGCCTGCGAGGATGTGGAGGGCACTGGGACCACTTCCAGCCACTTGCTGTATGCGTCCACCAGGATGAAGAACAGCTTGCCCTGGAAGGGTCCCGCAAAGTCCAGATGGAGGCGGGACCAGGGACGGTGGGAGGATTCCCAGGCCCTCTCGGGCGCTCGGGGTGGTTCCGGCCGCGAGGCTTGGCATGGCTGGCACCTCTTGACTACCCCTTCAATGTCGGCGTCCAGTCCCGGCCACCACACGTAGCTCCTGGCCAGGGCTTTCATCCGCACCACCCCGGGGTGTGTCTCATGCAGGGCGGTGAGTACCCGTTCCCTTAAAGGCGAGGGGATGACCACCCGGCTTCCCCACAGCAAGCACCCCTTGTGGGTTGAGAGTTCGTGTTTCCGGGTG